ACGAAAAGTGCAAAAACGCATAATCGCACCGGCCCGCCTGGTGCGTTCCAGCCTGGGTTCAACTCTGCAACTAGGCATCGGTGCGGTGTTGCGTTTTTGCATGTTTTCATTTTGCAGAGGAATAACCTGTGCTGGGATGAGACTGTGGCGTTATAGTTTGAACGTTTGATGCGTTTTTGTGCAGGACACATGCCTAATTGGAAGCTCATTTTGCCTTGCTGGCACGCGCATGAGCAGTAAACATCCTCACAAAAATACTGCTTTCTGCTCAGTCTGGTTACCGATTTAATTGTTTGTCAGCAGTGTCACAAACTAAATTTTCGCCTTCGCACACACGGGAGCTAGATATGATTTTAAGCTGAATTCCAAATATTTGGATCATATGTGGGCATGGAATATCTTCGCGAAATTTCATCTGTCTAGTTTGTGTGGTTGGCAAAATCGCTTTTATTAGAAATTTCTTTGACATGTCCGAATGCGCCGCTCATATGTGCGCCAAAATTTGCGTTTGCATGCTTGCATGTGAACAACAGATATTTTCCTAAAATTTGATGTATCCGTATATGTGATTAGGTGTACAGGATCGCCACGTTTGAAATATCTTGCTCACAAATAAATAAAGAATATCGGCATGAAGTGGATATTCTTTATGTGTGAGCAAAAGATTTTAAATTCTCCTCGGAATCGTTTCCCCACCAGAAAATTTACAGATGTTTTTAGGCCTCCGTGTAGGCACGCGGTATAATTGAATGTTGATTTTAAGCTCTCAGGATTGAAACCAAGCTAGGAATAGTCCCGTGAAATTCTAACTACCTAATTTTTCCGGTTAAACTGAATATGAGTGACAAAAATCCGGCCACAATTCACACACGTACACATACACACAGAAACATGCACACATGTACAACTTTTGGACATATGCGTATTACATTTGAATAACTTTCCGAACATTTTTTTTTTTTCATCATCCTTGACCATGTTTCTGTTTTGGGCTACACCACAAAATCAGAATTCTGCAGCTTGCAACTCAAAAATTCTGCTCT